TATTTGATGATGAGTTTTAACTACTAAGCAGTCAGCGCTATAAGAAAAATAAATAATAAATGTTTTCCCACATGGAATAAGGTCTAAACCAGGCATGTACTGGGTGAATGAGGTTAGTCATAACTTGTTCCTGATTGGAGAAATTGGACGTGTTACACCTGACCCCTGCTACAACCATCCCTGGTCTCCTCTACATCTTTAAAAATATATAGACAACCACTTTTGTTGCATTGTTCCTAGCACTTCTAAGGACTAAACAGACTTTACTGCGGTTTCTACTGTCTTGCCAACAGCCTATAGGCCTACTGTTATCACTTCTCATATTATCGCTCTGTCAAAAATCAAAAGCTGAATTAAAACAAAACTGAACTTACCATCATGGATCCATTTGCGTAAGTGTTTTTTGGGTAGTAAGTCATAACTGTTCCATAATAATGAGAAGCTTGAGTGCTGCTGATCAGCAGCAGCAGCAGAAGAGAGAGCAGCATTGTGCATGCGTAGTCTCTCCCCACAAAGAAAGTTAAACACCAACGTCTACTTCCAAAGACTGCCTCTCCTTCTCTCTCTCTCTCCTTTTTATATTTGGCCAGTGTTGGGAGTAAGGCATTACAGTAGTAGTGGATTACAGTAATGTAGCCTGTTGCTTTTGGTTGTAATGCAGTAATACAATGTAATACTAATAAAATGTCAGTAATATTATACATGGCTCCTCTTAATAAGATGGTAGCTCCTCTGAAAACATCATTTCAGAGGAGATGAAATCTGAAACCTGCCTGTCTGAAAACGGCCTTAGATAGAAATATGAGTAGGATTAAAGAGAACACACAGTCTCACAGTGCAAGTTTCAAATAGAAATGTGAAATAATTTGTGGTATGTAGCAATAATACAAACATCAGTAAAAGTAATTATCGCAATTATCATAATAATAACAATAATAATTTTAGCAGCGGGTGTCGAGCAGGAACACAGAGTCAGCCGGAAGCCTGCACAGATCCCGACTCAAAAGCTCCTGAGGCAGAAACAACTGCAGAAAGCGACAGAAGGAGAGAGGAGAGGGACAAGAAAGTACAAAACTACGGTAAAGAGATGAAGCCGAGTTAGTAACACGCATTACTGGTATTAGAATTCATACAGATGGAGAGAGAGAGCAAAGAATTATGTTAAAATGAAACATTCGTTTAAGATTTAACAATTATAAAAGTAGCACAACCTATCAACATTGAGATGAAATAAAAAGCTCTGAATAAAATCTTAATCAAGATGCTGGTGCTGACTATTTTCCAAAGCTTTAGAATTATTCACAAACATGTGATGATATTTTCCTTGTCCAATTGTAAGTACAGTAATAGAACAATCCTACTGTAAGTACAGTAGCAGTGCCACATCTATAACCCTCTATTGGATAAATATCTGTTGAGAATATTTCTTAAGGGGCTTTGTTGATGCAACAAGGAAAGGTAAGACAGATCTAGCTTAGAGTAATTTAACGGCTCACAATAAGTCTTCAACAGTATCCAATGCATGTTATCTCTGTATATTGCAAATATTCTTTATACTTTATATTGTGAACTTTTGGTCAATGTGTAGCACATACCAGCACAAACTGTACTACTACAAATTTTGTAGGCTACATGTTTTTTTAATGTTTTTTTTCATAGGATCAGATGTTTTAGTTTTCCTTTGTAGTACTTGCAGAATCAGGTTTATGTCATATTTCTAAAGCTGATATAAACCTGATTCTGTTATCATCAGTCAAATAAAATTTGATATTCAAAGCAAGCTCAGACAGTGGCTCCATTATCACACGTCCCTAGTTTGGAAGTCAATATCTGGGCTCCTCCTATGAAAACCACAACTGTAGACCAGTTCCATAGAAGTACAACAACTGAGAGTGTGCTGCTGTAATCAAACACCAGAGAGTTTTGACCCAGTGGTGAGGTGTTGGTGTTTGACTGTTTATACTGTTAATGTATGTGTCACTGTCTGATTACTGTACAACTTTTAGTCATTGAAAGTGGTTTCAATAACTTAGATTAACTAAGGTCAATAAAAGTTGTAATATAACGAGGATAAAGCTAATATTTTATTTCAACTAAAGATCATTTGTTTTTGCAGTTCACAAGTACACATTTAACACAAAATCAAATGCAACAAAGACATTTCAAAATGTTTGCTCGACTACAGGATCCCGCTTTTACATTCATACAGTTAAGTGTTTACACATGAAAGAAGCTGAAAAATACAACCACATTCAGCTCACATTCTGTAAATGTGAAAACTGGAAACATGTTTAATATATATATATATATGATCAACAAAATTATTAATTAGTCTGAAAAGGTTGCTGTGTTGTTTATTTAATCTCTGATTTAAGTTTATGAACATAACCTTTACAAACAATGCTTTTGAAAAGCTGTTTGCTTAACAGTAGAGTTGAAGCAACTGCAGTTGTGCAGATTTAGTTGGCAGCCAACTGAAAACAATGTTCATGTTGACACAGCAGGGGTCGTTTGGTTCCATATTTCAGTTTCACACTAGCTCACGAGGCTTAGAGTAATGTCTGATGGCAGCACTTGTCTCAGCTTTTCAGCTCTAATCTGGACAGAAAATAGAAACAGTGGTGCTGAGATATGATCATGATTTTCTCAGATATGATGGTTCTGTGTAAAGTGGGGGAGCATGGTTTGAGAAAGTAAACTAAACTGAGACACAGGGCTGTTAACAAAAAATCAAACGGGATGTTACGGAAGTTTAAACGCATCTGTCAGCACTTGAAAGTGCTCGCTGGCTGTGCTTTCCAAAACAAAACAAAAATTACACTCATACTTCATTTTACAAGCCAGCTGTTAGTCAGTGAAGGATCCTAATGCCCAGCCGTGAAAAAGCAGTCACAGCAAAAACTCAACAACGAGCAAAAGAGCTTCCCTCAAGACTTGGTATGAGTGGTGGGTGGTGATGGAACAGTGGATCAGACACATGCTCATTATGTTGTGTGAGTGCTAGTTGGTGGGTCGAGATATTACTAAAGAAACGTGTTATACTCCTAAGAGGTGTGCGTCAATGACAGTAAGTTTATACAAGTTGTGTTTGAATGGCAGTTACCGAATGTTGAATCGACGGCGTAGCCTCTACGTAGCCTCGTACCCTACTCTGAAGCCTACGTCATAGTCTGACGTGCACCTCCTAAAAAGTGTAACTACACGTAGAGGCGATGTGGACCATAAGAACTGTGATTGGTTGGCTGGATAGCCTCGCAATGCCTCCGAGTCAACAGGAAGTGGCCCGTGCTTTGAAGTAAATTTAGTAACACTTTCTATGAAGGTCATCGCTATAATGACTTATGAATATATTTATAACACGATATAATGCGTCCATAAGACATTATAACAATTGTTATAATCACTTACAAACATGCATTAGGCACTATAGCAAAGTTCATAACGTATTATGACCTTTTGATTTAATGTTTTATAACTATAGTAATACCAGTTTATACCACTGTGCGGCAATAATCTCCGACCATGTTCCATAACACATTATAACCACCGACTCTGCCTCATTAGAAATACACTTTAGTCACCATTTACAATTAGTGATATAAAATGGAATAATAGCTTACAGTAATGTTTAATGTTCTATAACATGTCTTTCTTTCTTTTAAATAAAGTGTTAAAATGTCCATCCCTGTGTAATATATCACAGGTTGACATAATACCACATGAACAAATTTTAAGAACTTATAACACGTATTTGTTTGCTTAACTCTCAAAGAGTTGAATTGACACTCTGTTTTTTACTGTCATGACAGTTTGAACAAACAGATAGAGAGAGAGAGAAATGGTGTGTGTGTAAGTACAGCTGACTTGCAAAATATTTCCTCTAAATATAAAGTGTGCGGTGTTGTAAGTACATTTACTCAAATACTGTACTTAAGAACACATTTGAGGTACTTGTACTTGAGTCTTTTGTTTTCATGCAACTTTATACTTTTACTCCACTACATTTCAGGGTTATTATCACATGGGGCCAGTTACATACATAGACAACAAGAACCACATAGAAAGATGTTTTCCAAGATAAAATTTTTATTTTATTGTTTTTACATGATAAATACCTGATAAATCCTTTATTGTACAGCAGTGATCATCATTTGGCGGCCCGTGGGCAACATCCGGCACGCCAAAGCTTCCCATCCAGCCCACAGTTAGCAGGGCACATCAGACCATGACCCACTGTTTCGCCTCAACTGAAATCAAGGTAGCATGCAAGTCCTTTTACCAGCCAAACAAAAATCTGGCAATAGACGAGAGGATGGTGGCAACAAAAGCCAAAACAGGAATGACACAGTACATAAAGGACAAACCGACTAAGTAGGGATTCAAACTATTCATCTTGGCCGACTCTACAAATGGCTACACGTCTAGCTTTACCGTGTACACAGGGAAGGCAAAGTTCCCTACTGGCTTTGGACTTTCCTATGACGCAGTTGTGGGCCTCCTGGACAAACCGTATTTGGGAAGTGGTTATCACATTTACTGTGATAACAATACACCACTGCTCACCACAAAGCACATAGATGATATAAGACTATGTTCTTACACTTTGTGGACATAGCTACATGCAACAGCTACATCCTCCACAAAGAACTGTGTAAAGAGCAAAACACTACACCACTTACACACAGAGCCTTTATGGAGGAGCTCTCTGCTCAACTTGCCGGGGTGACAACTGAGGTAACAGCGGCTGCAGACAGGACAACTCATCACACACCCCTGCCCATTGCCCCGTTGGACCCAGCAAACCCTGCACATAAGCCTGCAGACGTCAGAAAGTACTGTGATCACTGCAAGGCAAGCAAAGTGTACAACAAGACCCCCTGGCAGTGTGGGGCATGCCAGGTGCCCCTCTGCAACTTCCTGGAGAGGCCTTGCTTTGCTCAGTGGCATGCCTAAGAAAAAACGCCTATGATGTGATTTTCAGTGATAAATGACAAATCTAATTTTCGTTTTTGAAATTCTCTAGTTTATTGTACATTTTTCACTCATACTTCCTTAATAAACAAATTACATGCATGATTATGTTAGCTTAAGGTGTTCTGAATCCATAGATACCAAACACATGGTGTTACAACTCCATAACACATGGTTTATAAGCCCAAATGTAAAAATAGAGAAAACGGCCCAAACAGGGCTTAGTCCCCTAAAGTACATCCCACACAGAAGAAAAATCTACAGAAGCCATAAGCTGCCATCCATTGAAACATTTTTTTACTCCGATTTCCCATGATAACGGGATAATTATCTCGTGATCTCGAGATAACAAAACAGTAGTTTAACAGTGGTTTAAAGGTAATTTTACTATGTGTTTCTGTATCACGGGTTAGCTTAGAAGAGCACAGGACTCATCCTCTTGGAGTTGTTTGATCCTCACAGAAGTTTTTAATCTTTTTCATAATCCTCTTCAACAAAGTTCTTATGAACAGAGTGGAGATTGGTCCACTTCCATCAACCTATGAACTTTTCATTTCCCCATCATTCCCAGGCAGAGGACATACTGTGCTTCTCATTCAGGTGAATCCATTTAACGTTATACATTTCCTGACAGCTATTTCTGAACCTTTGAAATAGCCATCAGGAAATGTTTGATTGGATACCGCTGAATCTCTTCATAACAACTTTGTTGAAGAGGATAGTAAAAAAAACACACAAAAGAGGGAAAAAAAAGTTGCTGACAGCAGGAGTCAAATACACAATCCTTGGATTATGAGTCCTGTACTGAGAGAAAAACACGATCCAACCCCTGTATTCAGCTATGGTTTGTTATCTCAAGATTCCTACATCGGAGTAAAATAAATATTTGAATGGATGGCCGCTTAGGGCTTCCGTAAAAATCAAATTTTCAACGACTGTGAATACATTTTTTTTAATAAATGTTCAAGATGAGGGGGTCACTGTGGTTGTAAAGTTCAGTTTCCCACTATTCACGAGGTTTCGAGGGAGGTCTGATGGCAGGTCACACCAGTTTAGCTCTTATCTGGAAAGATAAAAACAGTGGTGTTGAGATATGATCACAACATTCTCAGGTATGATCGTTCTGTGTACAGTGGGAGAAAAGGATTTGAGGAAGTAAACTAAAGATCCATACAGATTATAATGAGCCTAAAACTACAAATAAAATACAGATGTTGATCCTATCTTATCTAGATCGACCTGCTCAGCTCTGTTTTAACCCCTTAACGCCTGAATTTTTTTATGATCAAAAAAATAAAAAGAAATAATTTGTGTTTTCATTTGCTTTCAAGCTGATGTTAAATTAATTTAAGATTGTTAATTTGTCTTTAGAACATAGAAAAGATATAAATTCAGGTATGTGGAGATATGATGCAAATTAGCGACAACAGGCATAAATGAGAAACCAGAGCTTGTAAAAGGTTCTAGGTTTGTATCAGGTTCGTATATGCACCAACAGGCATTGGGGGAATCCATGTGCTATCTTGGCTTGCAGTCTGCAGTGAAGAGGTATGATGCGAATTCGCGACAATCGGCGTTAAGGGGTTAATAGAAATAGTGGCTGCTTCTCATTTGTCCAACAAAATGTTACTCGCTAAAAGTCAAATTCTATGTTACATAACATTAAATGTGTCTGTCAGCACTAGAAATTGTTTGATGCTCACTTGTTGTTTCCAAAACAAACAAAAAAATTTAAACAATACTTTTTATTATCTTGTGGCACATAACAAAACATTCTGTCTGAGTCCCACACAGAAGAATTTATTTTAGATCAGACAATGAACCAGGAAGTGACATGAAGACATTTCTGCTGCAATGGTTTTGAAACTCTAAATTACAATTGTACAGTAAATTCAATTGTCACTTAAGCTTAATCTTATTAAAGAGATTTTGTTTTTGCAGTTGATTTTAATATAAATAGTCAGATAAAAAAGAACACATTGGACATAAAATCAAAGGCAGAAAAAACTTTTAAAACATTTTATTCAACAACTGAAAACATATTTCTTTCAATAAATGTTCAAGGTGAAACAGCAGAGGTCGCTGTGGGTGTAAAGTACAGTTTAACACTACTCACAAGGCTTAGAGGGAAGTCAGATGGCACTCCTTGACTCAACATTTCAGCTCTAATCTAGAAAGACAAAAACAGTGGTGTTGAGATATGATCACAACATTCTCAGGTATGATCGTTCTGTGTACAGTGGGAGAAAAGGATTTGAGGAAGTAAACTAAAGATCAATACAGATTATTATGAACCTAAAACTACAAATAAAATACAGATGTTGATCCTATCTTATCTAGATCGACCTGCTCAGCTCTGTTTTAATGGAAACAGTGGCTGCTTATCATTTGTCCAACAAAATGTTGCTCGCCAAAAGTCAAATTCTATGTTACGTAACATTAAATATGTCTGTCAGCACTAGAAATTGTTAGATGCTCACTTGTTGTTTCAAAACAAACAAAAAAAAGTTTAAAGTACCACAAACTCACCCTCATACTTCCTTTTAAAAGCTTCCTCGTTCCATGAATTTAAACTATAGTTTTTATTATCTTGTGGCACATGACAAAACGTTCTGTCTGAGTCCCACACAGAAGAATTTATTTTAGATCAGACAATGAACCAGGAAGTGACATGAAGACATTTCTGCTGCAATGGTTTTGAAACTCTAAATTACAATTGTACAGTAAATTCAATTGTCACTTAAGCTTAATCTTATTAAAGAGATTTTGTTTTTGCGGTTGATTTTAATATAAATAGTCAAATAAAAAGTACACATTGGACATAAAATCAAAAGCAGAAAAAACATTTAAAAAAATTTATTCAACAACTGAAAACACATTTCTTTCAATAAATGTTCAAGGTGAAACAGCAGAGGTCGCTGTGGGTGTAAAGTTCAGTTTAAAACTACTCACGAGGCTTGGAGGTAGGTCTGATGGCACTCCTTGACTCAACATTTCAGCTGTAATCTGGAAAGATAAAAACATTGTTGCTGAGATATGATCACTACGTTCTCAGATATGATGGTTCTGTGTAAAAGGATTTGAGAAAGTAAACTAAACAGAGGTACATACAAATTATTTTGAGTTTATTTTGTGCTCCAAACCCCAAATACAACACAGCTGTTTATCCTTATCTCTCCTTTATGTTTTCATCTAGATCGACCTGCTCAGCTCTGTTTTAATGGAATCAGTGGCTGCTTCTCATTTGTTCAACAAGACGTCATTCACCAAAAGTCAAACTGCATGTTACGTAACATTAAATATGCCTGTCAGCACTAGAAAGTGTTTGATGCTCACTTTCCGCTTTCCAAAATGAAACAAAAAAGTATGAAGCACTTCAAATTCGCCTTCATATTTCCTTGTACAAGCATCCTCTTTCCATTAAATTCATTTCATTTAATCATTAATGATTAAAATGATTTCCGTTCTTCTGCTTCTCCCATTCTCCAGTTGATCCGGTCCAATAGAGTACCAGTTGGCATTGCAGCCCTATTTGCACGTGAGTTCAAGTTTTCCACATCAGATGAATTTACTTAAACTGTAAACTTTTTTACACTGGCTGCACGATAAAAATGCTTCATTTCAGTTTCACCACCTGTGACAGTCTCAGTGCTTCTCACTGTTAGAGATGTTAGCCAGCTGTTAGCCAGAGGAAAGACCCTGATGCAGCCTTAAAAAATTGGCTCCTGTTAAAACACAACAACCAGTAAAACAGCTTCACTAAAGGTTTGGTATAAGTGGGACTCCAGGCTGGAATATTCACCAAAGATGCAACTTGTTGTTGATATTTCCTACAGTCCCAGTCTGTATATTGCATGTGTGCTGCGTAGTTTCTCTAGTCAACATTCGTCCATATGTAGAGCAAATGTTAAATATAATCACAAAAAGGACAGTTAACGCCCATGTCCATCCACTACTGTTATGCGAATATTGGTGCTGCTAATTCTCCAGTTGGGCTCAAGTAAATAATTGTAGAAGAAGAGGAGGACACAATGAGACTATGTAATTACAAGATCACTAGTTAAGCCTCAAACGATGGAAAACCATGTGGACATTAACTGAGGAACTTTACAGTCTCCGCATAAGAATAAATGAATGTTGTGTCTTCCTCTGCCACCATATTTCATCTCTTCAGTGGAAGTTTACATCACAGGCTACATTCAAGTCATTATGATTTATTCATCTTCTTTGTCACATTTAGTTTTTATTAATATACCAACTTGTTCACCTCAACAAAAACTTTTTTATAGTGTTATTCTGCTCAGGGTTTTTTAAGCCCAATTGAAAATGCACACAAAACCAGGTCGTTGGAAATGCACTTACTCTTATTTTTTCTGTCAATTTTTAGAGTTTACTAATGTTGACCGTTGTCTAAATGCAGTTATCTGATACATTGAGAGGATTTCTGATTACATAAGAAGATACTAACCTTTTCTATGATTTTATCATAGATGTAGTCCTCAGACAGTGAAGACAGAGCGGAAACCTTCATTTTCAGACCTATGAAAACTAGAAACACAGTAACTCAACATTATAATGCAGGTCAGAAGGTGCTGAAACTGAGTAATACAGCGGTCATAGACGAGGTCTTCATTTTCAGTTAAATTCAATGTCATTGTTCTCACTTAGCTCCTTCACTTGTCATTTAGCCATTTATGGCTATTTATATGTCCATTAGATGATTAAAATGGATACAGTGTAGAGTGAAACATCACCATTTGTCATACTCACTTGGGATCGGGTATGGGTCTGTAAACAGAGGTGAATATAAAACATAGATTACTGGTGAACTTCATTATCCAGGAAATCAACAACTGAATCTAAACATGAACTAAAAAGGAAGGGTTGTACTCACCATATCCAACATTAACAATCACACATCGTAGTTTCGATTGATACTCGACTGTACTGTGGAAATAAATTATTATTAATAATATTATGTCAGAAATTATTTTTATATATTTCAAGATAGAAAGTTTTTCTTGCTTAAGGAGGACATGGTCACACTTATGCAGTATACATCTATACATACAGTTCTCAACAAGGTATTATTTGCTCAGAGATGCTATTTTAGATGGGACTCAACTTTGGCCAAAGTAAGCCATCCTCCATTTTAAAAGAACAATTTGACCTATTGGGAAATATGCTAATTTACTTTCTTGCTGAGAATTAGATGAAAAAACTAAAGTCATCTAGCCGAGAGTCCAGAAAGTCATTGCTGCCAGCCAAGAATTAGTCCTGCTCATAAATCCCCTTTAAACCACAGCTTGTCGTTTTTACACTTTGTTTTATACGAGTTAAACACACGAGATGTCACATGTAAATTAATTAGCCTTAGAGGTAATTTTTTTAACCTATGGAAAGAGCCAGGTGAGCTTTTTCCCCTGTTTCCAGTCTTTATGCTAAGCTAAGCTAAACATCTGCAGCTTCATACTGTAATCACTGTATAGACATGAGAGTGCTATCAATCTTTTCATTAAACTCTTTGCAAGAAAGTAAATTAGTGTATGGGAATATCTATGAAAAAAACTAATTCTTAATGGTCAGATAGCTGACACTACAAAGACGTAATCTTAAGAGTAGATTTTGAAGGAAAAACCTTTTTCCCCCAAATATCCAGTATCCTTCCATTACAGAGACTATATTATACCTGGATATACATATTAATGACTTTGGCCATAAGAACACACAGTTTCTATTTTTTAATTTTAGGTATTTCTATAGTTTTTTGTCATGTGTGTTGCTTTAAGGTAATGTTCATGGGAGAAGTGACTGACTTGAAAAGTGCCTGGACAACAAAACAGACGGGATGGTTTTCTCCAATTTGGTTTTCAGACGGCGTCCAACTCAGGATGTACTGTCCAGCTCCCAGTATAATCCGGTTCATATTGTACGGCCCGCTGAACAGCAGATCAGAAATCCTTTAACAAACAGAAAAAGAAAAGACTTTGCATGTCAAACAAGCATTTCCAAACCCCAACAAATGTAGCAAACCTGTTTTTCGTGACGACGTGATTGAAATTCTTCTGCTGGAGAGTTTACTCTCATCTGACTCATCTTTGTTTTTAATCTTGTTTCCTTCTTGGCAGCTGCTGGCTGATTTGAGTCAGATGGGTTGCTGATTATTTTTTCGTAGTTGCATTAAAGTCGTCAAGCCAGTATTAGCCTTTAAAAGTTGAAGCTTGTGAAATTGAAAAAACATGGTGCGGTCTACCAATGCCTTCACAAACTCTAGTGATGTTTTTCATGCATACTGCTGTTTATGCTTACACCTACTCTGTGTATTTCTTAGCAGCACTATACAGTTTGTTCTGTACACTTTGTTGCACTCTTGTTAAACCTGTTACGCAACTCAAGACTCTTTGTGCACCTTTAACAGACTGATGTCATGTTGTGGATAAGTATTTTTTATCTAAGAAATCTGCAGGGCATCATTAAACTGTGGCATTTTAAGATCAAACTTCTTCTCAATTAGTTTTAATTTTGACTTACGTGGAGTTATTTGCTTTTGCATTGATCCGGATTTCCAGGGTCTGATTGACAGGGGCGTACAGCTGAGCTCTGTTGTCTGGGGTTGGAGGCAGAAACTTGGGCAGATAGAGTCCCTCTGTGCAGGACGGCACCGCTCGATCCACTGGACATTAGGAAAAGTAAAAATTTCAGCCACACTGAAGTTTTATGAGGATGGCAACGTGGGTTGGTCCGTCCATCAATCTTATTTACTACATCCTTCCGTTTATGATAAAATTCCTAAAAACTGACATTTCCATCAGCTTTGTGTTTAGTGCCTGTTAGAAAATGTTAGCATGCAAAGCTAATATGTGAAACACTGGTGCCTTCTAAACATCAGCATATTAAACAAGAAAATTGTCATAATAAGATAATATCTATATTTATTTAGTTTTGGTAAGATTGTTACAACTGTCTCACTTCCTGAAGATCAACTCAAATACTGAGATTATTTCTATAACTTTAGTGCAGCTAAACGACACACTGACAAAACAAGGTCTTACCACTTAAAACAAACTGGACAGGTATTTTGCTTATAGCGTTGATGGTAGTTATTGTTGTCTGTGTCCCGTTAGTTTGAGTCAGGGTGATATTCTGTGTGGGAAAGTCCTCCATCACCAGCTGTACAGCCCACAGACCTTTATTAATGCTATCGGTGGGGCTGAATGACAAAGTACAAGACTGCAAGAAGACAAAAAGGGACAAGATGTCAAAACAGCTCAATTATTTTCTTTCAGAAAATACAAGACTGTACATTTTCCATTCCATTTTATTTGCTGTAAGAATTTCACCGTAAGGCTATTTTAGGAAATATAGCATACTCCTACTGCTGTAATTTTTTTCTACATGATGTTTTCCTTCAGTTCTGGTCTATCAACGTCATGGTTTCTTTGCGTAATTTCTAAGTTTATTCTTTTTGTTGTCCCACTGGTCAAAGGTTAAAAAATCTATACCACACACATATAGTATACCTGTATGTAAATGTGTGTGTGTGTGTTGTATAAATACATTCATTACATTTCATACATACTGCTGACTGACTTTTTTATTGCCAACTTAACAGACTTTGTGTGGTCTTCCTTTTCATACTTTTGAGTCAGGTTGTAAAAATGTATTTAAAGAAGTGTTACTGTGGACTTTGGCGACTCACTGGTGAGAGGTTGAGAACAGACGGCGGTGTGCAGGGGTTACACTCTGACAGTGCTTCATTTCCGTATCTGCATTCAACTTTATCTCCATCAGGGTCAAACGCCAACAGGTTGAAATCTCTCTGACAGTTTGAAGGAACTCTGAGAGAGAGAGAGAGACTTTTTTTTAACTTTTTAAACCCACTTTAATAAAACATCACTGATTCAAAAACATAGCAACACTCAATAAGTCAGAGAATCAAAAACGGTTGACATTTAGAAAAACGAAAACACTTCCACACGAATAAAAACATCAAATTAGCTGAAAACACGACTAAAACTGACTTCTTCATCCACCACAGAACAGATGACATCATCATAACACCACTGACGTACAAACACATCCAAGCTGTTCATCAGCTGATGGAACTTAAAATCCACTAACACTCTGGCTTTGACCAGAGAGGTGAACACAGGGACTACGTCTCCACACAGCTGTCCTTCTACCTGCTTCTTTCTACTCAAGTATATGGACAGTTTGGCTTTTCCTACAATAAAATTTAACAGTTGCCACTTTATTGCATTGATCTTCCTGTAACCTGCTCCAAAAACAAAAGCAGTGTTAGACCATACTTCATTAAAAGAAGAAAACAAGCACCCCAACACATTGAACAGTTCCCCCAGTCTGCTGCACTCTAAAAAACAATGAAAAACAGTTTCCAGCAGCCCACAGAAAGGACAGCCGTCAGAGACAGAGGGATTAATCACAGAGATAAAAGAATTCACCGCAACAGAACCATGTAATATTCTCCACTGTAAGTCACCTGTGCGCTTCTTTAAAGGAAGTTTGTAAAAGACTCTCCAGGTGGGCTTCACAGCGTTACTAACCCCCAGGTTCTCCCTCCACACTGTGTCACTTCTACCATTTAATTTGTTTTTACACAACACCTTCACACAACACCTGTAAATCATTTTACCCGTCACCGTGTGCAGATCTGGGACCTTCTGATGCCTGACATCCAACAATAGACAAGATTGGGTACCAGTCCCAACTCTGGAAAAGGGTCCTCTTCGTCCGGAGCTTCCTCACCTTTCCAGTACATCCTCAACAGCTCATTATCCGCTGCTGTTAGTTTTTTAGTCCAACCATTCAGAATGTTCCTCATGTGACGCACAGATTTTAGTCCAATCAGTGCAGCCACAGCCTCAGTGTTCATAAAACCAGGTCCAGCTACATCCACTATCCGTCTGAGAGTTGTAGCGCCAGCAGAACGGAGTGTGTGATGGAGGCCTGGTGTACCACTGTCCTGTATGTCCATTGTGGATCCACCGATCAGAGGCTCGTTCAGTAACCAGTACAGGGAGACTGACGGCTCCAACCGTCTCTTCTTAAAAAGGTGCCAGGCCTTAAAAACTCCCTTATAAAAATCAGGCAATACAGACAAATTTAAATAACCAACATCCATTAAAAACAAAGCAGTGTCAAGTCCTAACCTGTCTGCTCTCCTTAAAATGCTGCTTGCAAACTCTTTCCATACTGGGTATTTAAAACCAGTCAGATATCTCTGTGCAAATTGAAATCGAAAAGTTGCCACTCTGCTTGCTAGGTGTACCAGGCCTTGCCCCCCTTCTTCTTTTGGTAAAAAAAGCACACTCTGAGGTACCCAGTGTAACCTGTCCCAAAAAAAGTCCACTAAAACTGCTTGTAGTTTTGAGAGTAAGCCAGCAGGTGGCTCCATACAAGCTAAACGATGCCATAGTGCTGAAGCTACAAGGTTGTTGATTACTAGAGTTCTTCCTCTAAAGGACATCTGAGCAAGCAGCCATTTCCACTCTTTCATCGTCTCTATCATGCCCTCCCAGTTCCTTTTCACCATTTCTTCTTTGCCAAGATAAATACCTAGATACTTTATACCATCATTTCTCCATCCCAACCCCCCCCCGGCAGGACCGGAAGACCACCAAACCAGTTTCCAACCGCTAGAGCTTCACTTTTTGTCCAATTCACTTTTGCAGCAGAGATAAGACCAAACTCAGACAACAATATTAATTTCAGCTTGATTTCTGACCAGGAGCATGACATCATCAGCATAAGCAGATAAAACGTGTGGTGTGTTAAAACCTGGTAAAACCAAACCATGAATACAGGACCGGATTCTGTGTAGCAAGGGCTCAATGGACAATGTATACAGCATCCCAGACAGAGGACAGCCCTGTCTGACACCCCTGCCTACTGTGAAGGGAGCACTCAGACCCCCGTTAACCTTCAGCACACTCTGAATGTCTCTGTACAAAACTTTTATCATAGCAATGAGACGTGGGCTGAGACCAAAACGCTCCAGAACTTTCCAAAGATAAAGGTGCTCAACCCTGTCAAATGCTTTTTCTTGGTCTAACAAAATGAGACCAAGGTCAGTGCCCAAAGAACTAGAGACATCCAAAACATCCCTGATTAACGACACGTTGTCTGTGATGGACCTACCAGGCACACAGTACGTCTGATCCAGGTGAATGATTTCCTCCATCACCTGCTTCAAACGGTTAGCCAGAGCCTTGGACAAGATCTTATAGTCCGAACAGAGGAGGGAGACTGGGCGCCAGTTTCTGACGTCCTGAAGGTCTCCTTTCTTCGGCAGCAGGGTTATCACAGCTCTCCTGCAGCTCAGAGGCAGGGTCTGATTTTCAAAACTTTCATTGAAAACATCTAACAAGTCCTGACCAAGCTCTTTCCAGAAGGTCTTGTAGAACTCGACAGGAAGACCGTCAATACCTGGGGCCTTCCCTCCATCCATCCCCTGCAGGGCAGCATGCAGCTCTTCCAAAACCAGAGGCTCCTCCAGCTCAGGATGGTCATCTCCAGAGATTCTGGGCAGGCCTTCACTGAAACACTCAAACAGCTGTTCATGCTCCACATGCTGCGCTTTATACAGCTCAGAGTAAAACTGCACCACCCGTCTCCGGATCTCATGAGGCTCCGTGAGTTCTTCCCCATCAGCTGACTGTAATGTGTGGATGTACCTGCTCTGCCCATGCCAAAGAAAAACTTGGACGGAGCGTCCATCTGGTTGATGCTCTGGAAACGTGAACGAACCAGTGCTCCCTGGGCTTTGGTGCCCAGCAGGTCTGCTAACAAAGCTTTTTTAGATTTGAGGGCAAAATGCTCTCGATTTCCTGTGGACTCAATCAAGCCTAAAAGTTCCACTATCTCAGTCTCTAGAGTTGTCATTGATCTAGTAATGTCCCTCATGACATTCAGAGTGTACTGTAGACAGAGCTGTTTGATTTTAACCTTCACACAGTCCCACCATTGTCTTAAAGAAACAAAACTGTTCCTTTCAGCCCTATGCACCTTCCAGAAATAAACCACACCATCTTTGAAATTAGCATCACTGAGTAAATTGGTGTTAAAATGCCAGTATGCACTCCGTTTTTCAGTTTTTGCAATAAAAGCACTGCAGACCACTAAAAAATGATCACTAAAATGTACAGGTAAAATACTACATGCCTTAAAAACACTAAAATGATGTTTAAAACAATAAAACCTGTCCAGTCGAGCCAAAGAAATAAAATTTTCTCTTGTATGCAACCAGGTGTACTGTCGGTCTTCAGTGTGCAACCTCCTCCAAACGTCCACCAAATCATGTGTCTTTATTACCTCATTAATTGCCTTTTTCAAAGCAGCATGAGGTTCAACATGATTCCTGTCCAAAGAATCATTCTGAGTACAATTAAAATCTCCCCCTAAAAACAAAAAATCATCTGAACCAAAACTAGTCAGAATGTCACTGAGAGTATTAATAAAACGGTCTCTGTCTGAGCCGACATTAGGAGCATAAACATTAATGAATGTGAGAGTGAAACACTCAAACTTGGCTCTGACCATCATCAGCCTTCCTTCTATCACTTCTTTAAGTTCATAAGAAATCGGCAGAAACTTTTTAGAGAAAAGGACGGCTACCCCCCCGCTCACTGAGGTCAAGGAGCTTAACACGACCTCGCCGTCCCATTCTGATCTCCAGTCAGTTTCACTGGACCTGTCGCTGTGTGTTTCCTGGACAAACATCACATCAACACTTTTCAGCTTCATCAGCTCATATAGCTGCATCCTTTTTCTGATGTCCGCAGCGCCATTTAAATTCAATGAAGCAACTTTAAAATCACTCATTGAAAAAATAAAAAAACAACCAGACAGCACACACAGACTGAGAAAAAGAAAACCTTTAGTTTGATTCCTCTCCATCTTCTTCATTAAGTTCATGTCTGATCTTCACCACTATTTTCCTCAACCTGTAAACCTCCTGCTCAGTTAAACCCTCTCTTCCTTTGGCCCTCAGCTGTGACTTGACTGAGTTAAGAAAAGCCTCTTTGTCTGGAAAGAAACTTTCAACTTTTACCCCTTTTACGTTCTTTGTTTTCTGTAGAAACAGTTTGATTTTCTCAACCCCATAAATCTGTTCGTTCAGCTCTCCTGGTGTTATTTTGTTCAGTGAGACATCACTCTCACTGTCTGCATCAAAACGGCCTTCCACACTGGAGTCATACTCCGCCATCGACTCCTTCACAGTCTGCTTCTGCTTGTCTTTGCTGACTGTAACCTTCTTTTCTTTTGAGCCTTTACTGTCGATTTCAGATTTTCTTTTCTGCCGAGTAATTGTCAGGCTGCTCTCCTCACCAACCATGTCTATATCTGCACTTCCTGCCAAAATCTCCTCTGGCCCAGCTGTCTTACTATTTTGCGTCTCATCCTCCTCCTCCTCTTCCTCATCCTCCCCATTTTCCTCCTCCTCATTATTTTCTATATCAGCACCCACAGTCTCACAACTCTGTTGAGACTCACCTGCCTCTTTTCCCTCATCACTGATGCTTTGACAGTTTGATGTGTCCTTTTATCTGCAGCTAACAGTTTGATTTCCTCCCTCCATCTGTTCACCATCACCACTGTTGTCTCCACCTGTTTCCTCCTCCCTGTTCTTCATTTCAGCTCTGCCTCTTTGCTCCTTGTCACTTATTCCTCCCTTTTTTCCAGCTTCCTTCTGCCCTGATGTTCCCTCTCCAGCAGTCTGACCAGATTCAGTACCGGCAGGTTTTTCTGGACACACTCGGATCACGTGACCCTCCTTTCCACAGCCGAAACACTTCATAAGTCTAACGTGGCAAACAGAACATAATCAAACCCATCAATTTTCAGCCGAAAAGACAAGTTCAATTCTTCATTGCTGTTATTCAGGATCATGAATAACTGTCTCCTGTGAGACACCACATGCTGGAGCAAAGGAGATTTACACCCAGACAGGGCTTTTTTAATAGGGGACACTATTTTTCCATGCCTGGAGAGTTCTCTCTCCAGCACTTCATCTCTGATGAACTGGGGGACGTTAGACAAAATCACCCTTCTGGCCGGTGAGGCCAGAGGCAGCACTGGTACAAAGGTTTCATTCACCACAATACCGCTTGTGATGGCGGCGTTAGCTTTTTGTACTTCATCCACAAAGATCACCACCGCCCCGTTCATCCTGGCCGCAGATCTCACACTGCCGGCCCCGACAACCTCCGCCACCGCTAACGCACACTCCTCTACGGAGCGGAAACCCGGACAGATCTTAAGTCCGTGTTTCTCAGCGAAACGCTGCCCGACACAAAATACACGACAACAAACAAACACACACACCTTGTTCTTATTGTTTTCATTAGGAAAGTTAATGCTTTTTGAACTTAACCAATTTCTTCTACTTAACTATCTGGTGGGGGTGGGGTAGCCTCGAGATAAAAAAAAATAAAATATCCACAATCCATTCTGAGACAGAGAACTGTCTAACTGCTGCTAAGGGTCAGCTCGTTGGCTTTAAGTCATGGTAGTACACATAATAAAAAACTGGTTGAACACCTCTCCAAAAATAGAACGTAAGCTAAGAGAGCAGCACCGATCGTCAACCTGGATACAAATAAAATATATAAATTAACTAATGAAGGCACTATTTTTGAAAAACTACAAAAACACAGCAGCAGTGCCACAACAGACATTAAATAAAAATGTACTAATTAACATTTGTAAATGTCTAAAACATTCTATCACGTGTCATGTAGAATGACAAAAACAATCAAATGAAAATGTTTATTTTAGCAAAATAAAATTTACATGAGAGTAAATCACCGACACTGAAGTGATTTATTTCACGAAAAATCCCCACAGGACAGCGAAATGTACATTCAGAGCTTTATTAACATTAGGAATCAGATTTTAGTTTTTCCACCTGCCTGTTTGAACACACAGTTACTGTAGTCTACTCTTTACCTCTGTTCTTTCTATCTAGTATATTTCCAAAACAGTAGCTGACCAACAGTATTTGCATTTCACTGATAGATTCTGATAACACGTTGTATTAACACATTTAGATGCATACTGTTCAGTTGCACCATCTCTGGCTTTGTTGTCCACTCTGTCTAATCTTTCACCCCTGAACCGGGCTCTGGTACTAGTACTACTGAACGAGTCGGCTACTTTGTTATATTTATTTGCAATTTAGCAAAGACCTTTGACTCTTTTGTCTCTGAACTTTTGAGCCCAATCCTTAAACTCTGCTTGTCCATTTTCTGTTGTAGCTCATTTTCCAGCTCTCAGTGTCGCTGTGGTGTGAGTGAGACTGAAGGGGCGGGGCTTTGGGCTGCACCTATGTTCATATGGAATAGACCAACAGGTGTGGGAAGAAAGGACTGGCCTGTGTTGCTCAACTTTCTGCCAACTTCTTCGTTATTAGTAAAAAAGTAAAGGCTAAGGAAGGCTGCCCACCAGGAATTGTCCCGATATTCCAGATGGCCAGACTAACATACAACATTTTCAGATGAAAATTCAGTTCAGAGGCCTTTCATCACCTTGTTGCTTCCAACAAGTACTGTAAGGTACTAAAGGTGCTAATGATGTTTCAAAATGTGATGCATATGCATAAGGTGTATTTTTTACTAACAAAACAATAGAAACACAAACATTGAGGCTTACCTCAAAACTGGCAGTATGGTGGTCTGGGGTGATCTGTTTGCCTGGTTGGTGTCTGACCGGTTCCTCAGCTCCACCAGAGTAATGGCTCTCCAGTTTATGATGCCATTTACGATGTTATCTATCCAGTTACCACCAGCTAACCTTCAGTAGGAAAGGCAGTTTTTACTGTTCTGCTGAGAACATGCATGAACAGATGTATTGTAGGTGTGTGTACAGCTGACAAGATATTACCTCGTAATGTGCACTTAGTGTGCAGTGTTGCAAATACATTTACTGAAGTACTTAACTTGAGTACAAATTTTAGGAACTTTGCCAATTTATATTTCTACTCCACTGCATCTCAGAAAAATATATTGTACTTTTTACTTCGCAACATTTTTCTGACCACTATTTTAACTGTTTAGTTATTTGTCATGTTTCCAGCTTCACAAATGTCAGGAGTTGTTGCTTTTCTTTTGAATTATTTTGATTATTTACTTCTTTTTGCTGCTGGTGGAACAAAACAAGCATTGTGAAGGTGCTGCTTTGGGTAATTGTGAGGGCATTTCTCACTATTTTCTGAATTTTAAAAACCAAACAATCAGTCAAGAGAAGCAGCAGATTAATCCATGAAAATAATAATTTGCTGCAGTCCAAAATAGTTAAAAATGAACTCCATCCTCAACTAACATAGTAAAATCCATCTTTTACATTAAAGCTGTGGCAACAGACTAAATTAAATTACTGGCTGTGAAAGTCACAGATACTTAAGTAAAACATAGAGATACTTTCACCATTAGTTTGGAAAAGATTTAAATATTCAGATTTAGATTTAGACCTTTAGTAATGATTTGAAAATGACAGAGAAGTAATATTATGTTATGTTTTGCATTGTCATGGTGCACTTACCACAACTGAAAAGGAGCGTTGGTGGAAACTTGGCGAGTCATGATTCCCTCATTTTGACACCACTCCAATGTGCCGATCTCCTCATCAACCTCGCTTAACACTACATCACTGTCAGTCCCACAATCACCGCTGAAGCAGGCCCATGTGGCAAATTGAGAGCACAAGTGGAAGTTCAACTTATAGTGAAGGTCCACCTGTTGTATTACAGTGAAGATGAATTATGTCATATGCATTAATGACTATTAGGAGAAGATGCTTCCCTACAAGACCTAAAACTGTAAAACTGTATACGTTTATTTAGATAGCCTAACAGGGTTATTATCACATTGGTTTCATACACAGACAACAAGAACCACATGGAAAGATGTTTTCCAAAACTCAATTATTATTAATATTTTTCCTGTATTGTAAAGCAGAGAATATCATTGGTGGCCCGAGGGCCACATCCGACCCCCAAAGCTTCCCATTCTGCCCACAGAGTGGCCACTGATTAAAGTATTGCAATAATAATAAATTTGCAGTACCCTAATAGAAACTCCCGTGAAAATCCCGGTCTAATGCTCTTTCAAGTTACTGCCAATGCAAACTGAACATTTCCTACTGCTGCATCTTCACATTAAAAGCATTTAACTAGCAAAACACAAGTTGACTTTAATTTTGAAATCGTCACAGGAAGGTGAGTGAGACAAAGGTCATTTTCAACATTTTATGACAGCGGGCCAGTTTGAGATATTGCAAAGATCAGTGAAGAGCAGATTCAGCGGATCGTGAAGAGCTGCAGGCGACAGGCTGCACACCTCCACCTTCTCACCAGGTAACATTGACCATCTCCTTTCACTTTCGCTGTTCACAGACTCGTGTTGTGAAGCAAAAAGTCAGATCATGACTGCTCACATAATTATGGAAAAAGGACCAATTACTGCCTGATAATAGTTTCTTTAGCTGCCCAAGACTTCTATGACCTGCAATATTGACCCGCATTTGCTGTTACGAGCGGTAGCTACAGGTGTCACATGCACAATAATGTTGCAAATATATAATAGCTGGCTGCACAAAAAAAGGTTGATTAATATTTCCAACCAGTCAGAACTGCGTCCTGCAGTTGCATTTACAGTTACAGATTTTATCCATCATTCGTCAGTGAACAGCCTTCTTGGAGAAAGTCTGAGTGCATTTCTAATTAAGTAGGCTAGATATTGATTTAGTATGTTCACAGCGATTTGCAATAAAAATAGGCAATAAAAAACATTTATTTTGTAAAATTGTAAATTTTAAACACTAGCTGATTAAGCCTCTATAAAAGCAATGTCTGCTCAGAGAAATTCTGGGCCTTGAACAAAAGCAGTTGAGTGCCCCTGTTGCACAGTATAGTTTTAGAGTATTTAGAGAATATGTTTTGTTATGATTCTTCTTAGGACTTCTAAGGACTTAAGATACAGGTTTTACTGCACTTTCTACTGTATTACCAACATCACAGAAATTAGATACTCACTTTTGTCATATTGTCACACTGTCAAATTTCAAATTGAATTAATTGGATTAGAACAAAACTGTACATACCGTAATTGATCCATTTGCGTTATTGTTTTTTGGGTAGTAAGTCATCACTGTTCCATAAAAATGAGAAGCCTGGGTGCTGCAGACCAGCAGCAGCAGAAGAAAGAGCGACATAGTGAATGTCATAGTCTGCACAAAGACAGTGAACAACAACACATCCAACTCCAAAGACAGCCTCTCCCTCTGTCGCTGTCCTTTTTATGTTTAGTTTTCTTGCCCAACGAAGATTGATATCAAACAATACACCAGGAAATGGTTAGGAATGAGGAAATGTTTCTTGTTGCTGATACAAGATTATGATTGATTGAGTGCAGTAAATGCAGTCCCTTTAATCAATTTACCATTGGGCAGAAATTGTATTAATTTATAAACAGAAGATCTGAAATAAATCGACTAGAATTTAGATCTTTTCCTAAGTGCTATAACTTGCAATTATCCACCAAGCATGATGTGGCTCAAACATTGTAAACACAAATGCTTGGTTGTCACAAATTTTACTTTAATTTTAATCCCTCAAAAATGTATTCTTAATAGATTCCCTTTCCCCAGCACCAATCCTGAAAATTTCTGTGCCAAAATTTTCAGTGCCAAAAAGATCTACTTAATCCAAGTTGTTTTTCTGATTTGTGCCCCAACAATAGATCATTCGATGTCTGGAAAGAACCTTGTTGGCTTATGATATAGAAGCAGACCTTCCCAATTTTTTTTGCGTTTTGAAACAATGCAAGGGTTGCCGTGACAAATTGCAAAACAAACCTGAAAATCCTGTTTCAGTCACACATAATCTATGAGGTTGTGTCTCACAACTTAAGAATGTTTTCAAGCTGTCAAATCTTTTATTTTCTCTATCTCAATGATGGCATGTAAAAAGTAGAATTACAACATTCTTGTGATTTACCATGAACCAATGTGGGCACCGCCTGTCTGTCTAATCAAGGCCTTACAAAGAAAGAAGTCATGTGACCAAAAGCAAAATCAGGTGGCAGGTGGGTGAGGCAGAGGTTCTACAGAGGAGATCCAGAGATAATTGTGGCAGAGTGAAATGGCTGGCTGGTTTGGCTGGCAGAGGTCTGAATGACGGCTGTTGAAGACAGAATATCCAAAGTTGGAAAGTAGGAAGACAAACTAGTAAAGTTTCTGCTCGCAAGAAATTTGTTATCCTGCAGGTGCATCTAAACCAATTTGAATATCGTGGAAAAGGTCCTTGTTAGCACCAGAATCAGAGATTAAAGCTCAGGAAACCTTTGCAGGTGTTTTGAGTTAATTAGTTGTTTAGAGCTCTTCTCAGGTCGACATATCTGTTAGAAATTATTTTCTTCTAAAATCATAATACATTTTGAGATACTGGATTTTTGATATCCAGTTGTAAGCTGTATTCTTCTTCTTCAACTGCGTATCTGGGGTCGGGTAGCAAATCTCCCTTTCCCCAGCCACATTAGCCAGCTCTGACTGGGGGAGACATTCCCAGGCCAGTGTGGAGACATAATCTCTCCACCTAGTCCTGGGTCTTCCCTGAGGCTTCCTCCCAGTTGGACGAGCCAGGAACACCTCTCTAAGGAGATTTCCAGGGGACATCTTTACCAGATACCCAAACCACTTCAGCTGGCTTCTTTTGACGCAAACAAGCCAGCGTCTCTACTCCGAGCTCCTCACATATGATTTGGCTTCTCACTCTGTCTCAAAGGGAGACATCAGCCACCCTCCTGATAAAATCCATTTAGACTTTTTTTGGCTAAGCTGTGATCATCAAGAATAAAACAAATAAATAAAGTGAAATATTTCACTTTATTAATTCATCTAGAATATATAAAAAGTTTCACCTTTTGAATTAAATTACAGAAGAAAATTCCCCTTTCCATGACATCTATGAACATAGGCAAGGCAAGGCAAATTTATTTGTATAGCACATTTCAACAACAAGGAAATTCAAAGTGCTATACATAAAACATAAAAGCAACAGGGAAATATAAAAAAGTTTAAAAGCAACATAGGAAAATTGAAAAAATACACATTAAAATATAATAAAAGTTACAGTGCAGTGTATAATCAGGGTTAAATGAGTTAAATGGAAAATAAAAACAGGCTGATAAATAATTGAGTTACAATTATTTTGAAAAGTGAATAAACAGAGAAGTACACTTAATCTACTCTCTCTAGCTAGTCTGTACTCGGATCCACAGCAATCTTTGGGTCCACTGAAACTCCAAAAACCCTCGGACACTACAGAGAAACCAGGACATGTCTGACTTAGCCTTATTCTTTCAGCTTGGCTATGTCTGTATTTCCACATTAAAACACACTGAATCACTTTTAAGAACTTCTCGTCACTTCAAAAATGAGAATCACCTATTTAACGCACACAAAAGTGTTTTTTTCCCCAACTGCTTAGACACGTTTTGAAAACTCTACAGACAATTCCTGAAACTGCACACACAAGATGCAATATGCCTCATATCTTCTCCAAAATGAAACACGGCATTCAAAATGCCATAAACATATCTCAATCAGATTGCAAACAGAGAAGGTTAATATGTACTCTGGCCTTGGTAACCAGCTCTTACAACAATATTATACACAAATGATAATAATAGAATTTATTTACCTTTAGCATCAATGATCGACAACTTTAGAAAGTAAATCACTGTTAACTATTCTTAGCAAAAATGAAATATAGTCAATAAAAACAAAGCATACAAAACATGCAATAAATCAGCAGAGGTGTGTGTGTGTGTGTGTGTGTGTGTGTGTGTGTGTGTGTGTGTGTGTGTGTGTGCACAGGCTCCTCCTATCTTAAGGATTGTGGTAGTTAATTATAGCCAAAAAATGAAGCTGAGCTGGCTGAGCATTCTAGTTTTGAATAGATGTAAGCCAATGACTTATTATACTTCATCTAACTATTGAAAATGGGTGCCTGTAATAGAAGCTTGTGTTCCACCCTACTTAAGGATTAATAACATACTTTAGTCTATGTTTCCATGTATTCAATGTTTTATTTTAATAAAAAGAGTTCAGTTGATTTTACACATTTGGCAGCCTCAAAAGACCTTTTTAGGAGTTTTATTGCCAAGTAGTGTTTTACACACACACAAGGAATTATCTTTGGTGAGGTGCAACAAAAAGAATAGAGCTTTGCAGAGAAAGAACAACGTCGCGGATATTACATGTGCATTATTCTGGGTTTGTGTTGTGCAGACGTATTGCAACGGTAGAGAATATTGTGTGTAAATATATAAATTGACAATATAATAAATACAACAACAAAGATGAACAATTAACAACATGATATGAACATGCATGATATGAAATGAAATAATATTTACAATGTACAAAAACATTTGTATTATTTGCAAGGGCGGTGTGTCAGTGGGGGACCCGGGCCTTGTTCATGAGGCTAGCTGCAAACCGATTCTGCTGATGGTCCTGGAGTCAGAGACATGTTTTCCCAGCTTCACGTGCTGCTTCCCGTTCGTCAGGAAGTCTGTGATCCACCTGCAGGTGGAGTAAGGCACGTTCAGCTGAGACAGCTTCACCTGCAGCAGGGCTGGGATGATGGTGTTAAAAGCAGAGCTGAAATCCACAAACAGGATCCTGGTGTAGGTTCCTGGGGAGTCCAGGTGCTGGAGGAGGAGGATGTATTGAAGGGCCATGTTTACTGCATCATCTACAGACCTGTTGGCTCTGTAGATGAACTGCAGGGGGTCCAGGAGTGGGTCTGTGATGGATTTAAGGTGGGACAACACAAGTTCAAAGGACATCATTACCACAGAGGTCAGGGTGACGGGTCTGAAGTCATTTAGTCCTGTGGTCCGTGATTTTTTGGGGACAGGGATGATGGTGGAGGCTTTGAAGCATGCTGGCACATGGCATGTCTCAGGTGAGGTCAGGGTGGATGGGGAGCCAGAGTCCGGCCCAGCTGCTTTGCAGGGTTTCTGCCTCCTGAATAGCCTGTTGACTTCCCCCTCTGAGATGGAGAGAGGAGGGGAGGGGGTGAAGCTGGCCAATTCTGAGGAGGGGGAGAAGGAGATGGTGGACAAGGGCTGAGAGAATCGTTGATGGAGTGGGACTTTGGGTTTATAGTTGAGTGATTTGTCTGAACCCCCTCCAGACAGAAATGGCGTTTGCAGAGAACTGATCCTTTAGGCCCCATCCACGCATTTTCAAATTAAAATGGAGACCATTCGCTACGTTTGCACCTCTCATCCAGACTACAACGGCAAAAACAAAGACCTAAAATGGAGAAGTTTGGAAATGCTGCCGACCCCGTTTCAAAACTCCGGAGGGCGTTTTAGTGAAGACGAGCCAAAACGGAGGTCTTTACAAACGATGAAGCAACCGCTCAAGCTCGGCTTTCTGATTGGGTCTTATAAGTCATGCAAAGCAGAAACAGGATGCTACTAACGGGGTTTTTGACTTGGTATTTTTATTAAAATATTCTGTAACGTGCAAATAACACTTGTGTGTTTGCGTTTACTTTGCGACGAGTCCCAGTCTGTTTTCTACCGCCACACTCCCGTGTTACATTCAGTAACAGTCCCAGCTCATTATTGGTGCGTCTGTATTTATTTATTCTTTCGCCAAATCTTCTGTCCAAACACGCCTGAAAATCCTCTACAGCTTCACAGGTCCGTTTCGTTGATGTCCTCACTACGCTATTGTTAATATAAAAACAGACACCTCCACCTTTTGTTTTGCCGGAGACCTCCATGTCACGGTCTGCATTGTAGAGTTAGAAGCCAGCCAGCTGCAGCTCGGAGTCCAGTATCAGTTCACACAGCCACGTCTCCTTGAAGCACAGAATAGAAGATGAATAAAAGTCTCTGTTTTTCCCCACCAGAAGCTGAAGCAGTTTGTTGCACAGTGAGCACACGTTGGAGAGAAATATTGCCGGTACCGATGTGCGGAGTCACCTACGGCGAACGTGCTTCACCACCTGAACAACAGAGAGCCCTTCACCAAAATGTCCAATAATTACACTGATGACGCGAGAAAAGTGGGAACTAAATCCGCTGGAGTTGTTCCCCTGATGTTCATGTTCAAGACAGCCAACACTGAATTAACACACAAAAACAAAACAAAACAAAGCACACAGCGAGGCCGCTAAACTCAGCGTCATCTTGTTTTCTCTAAATTTTTCAGCTCAGCCTTTATCTTTTTTACGGTCCATTATCTAGCTAGTAACCTGGTCTT